TGCTCCCTGCCCCCCTGCTCCACTGGCCCAGCCACACGCTCGCTCGCCCGCCACCCGCCCATTTCCCTTTTCCTCTTCCTACTCCTACTCCTCCTGCTGCCGCCCACTCAGCCTCTTCCGCTTTTCCTTGCCCTCTTGCTGCCATGCCTGAGCTGCCGCCGGGCTGCCCACTGCCCTGCGCAGCTGAGCCAGCCGCGCGCTCGCTCGCCCACCACCCGCCCATTTCCCCTCTTCCTCCTCCTGTTGGGGGGGTCGTCTTATACGGCCGGTCGTCTTGTGCGCCGGCAAATACGATAAGTAACCTAACTATCTTGGTGGGTAATTATGACTTGCCTGTTATTGAATAATACAACTGCTGAGCCACAAAGCTAAATGCAATTCAGCAGCCACTTATTGTGTCTGGTGCCATATACATACAGACCAGCTCAGTCATAACCCTCACAGCTACAGTCCTAGGAAGTCCTACAGTCCTTCATTGAGCTCTGAGCTGAGTTTGGCAGGTAGTAATGAAAGTCAGTGTTATTTGTCAGTATAAGTGAAGGGCATTAATTTGTACCAATTATGTTGTGACCTGGGTTATATACAGTATACATTTTGTTTTATTACTGTATATATATATAATATATCAAAGAGTTTTCGGATAGTTCCAGTGAGATACCCTTTCTCCCCTTGCTCACCACAGTCCTCCCTGTCACTTTCTCCTTCCTCTCATTCCTCCCTGGCATTCTTGACTTACCTTGTTTACTTCTGAGGGTCAGACAAGAGCTTCCAGCTACAAAGGATTAATCCTAGCTTCCAGAAAAATGCACATATGTGGCCAGAGTTATAAAAGATTTATAATGAAGTTTGTGCGTGTGGGGGGATACCTCTTGCATTTGTTTGTGCGGTTTTGATTTTTTACAACTTCTTGTGCTGGCCTCCTTTTTTCAGCCATTTGCCCCCTTGTTGCCCTTTCTCTAGCTTCTGAATTCTTTATGCTTTAATATACCTACTTCTTTAGGCCTTCTCACAGTCCCCATTCTGATCACAATGCTCTTCTGTCTACCCACAATATTACTCAGGACCTGTCTTGAAGACACCTAAATGTCAGGAGCAGGGGACTCAAAAGGGGAACAAGCCAGAAGAATGGACAAGAACATGGCTCAGATGCAGACCTAGCTCCCATATGGGACAGGAGACTAGCTGCCTGGGAAATTGGACACTGAGCATAACTCCATTGTGCTTATACATCTTCTTTGATCCTGGAATAATGATAGTTAGTTACAGAAACCTGACACATTTCCTTCTATCATACAATCTGCACTGCAACCATTTTGACAGATTTACTGTGACCATTCTGAATGTTTGGTAAACTGAACTATGTGATGTCAGGGGATTAACCACCACAACTTCAACACAATATAAATCAATCTTGATCAAGACATAATTGTAATGTAGAAATGGCAGGTTATATTTCAGTGCTAGGAATTTTGTACTGGATTATTGAGTAATAAAGGAAATACATACATAATGTTCTTTAGCATTATTGCAACTTTTTTCTGTGTTGTTTATTTTCTAGGGAGAAGATTCACTACATTCGAACAGAGGGTACACACGGGCTTGAAAAGTTGTCCTGTGATGCAGATTTAGTAATACTGCTAAGGTAATACAATGTCAATAACTGTATGCTAATTGCCCTATTCCTCAGCACTTTCTTCCAAAATTTACTACCCCATACTGCCCAGCAAGCATTATCCCAAACCCAAAGGAACTTCTATGCATTCATCACACAGAATTGAGAGAATATAAATACTGAGATCCCTACAAAGAAAATCATGAACATATCTGGAATTAGATTATAGTGAGTACACTTTTTCAAAATCTAGATTTACCTCAAATTAAATGAAAACATTTAGCAGAAATATTTTTTATTACTGGAGGTTTTCAAGGAATTGGAAAGCATAAGGAAATGATATGTAATAATGGCAGAAGATTTTAATATGTTGATGGGTAAAGAGAAAGATAAATTAAACCCTACTAAGGATGAAAGAAAGAATAATTTTACAATATTAAATATACTGAAAAGCAAAACTGATATGAAAGATGTTTGGAGAGAATGGAAAGGAGATGAAAAGAAGTTCACTCGTTATTCATCAGTGCATAAAAGTTATTTTAAAATATATTATAGATTTGTATCTAATGATTTGTTATCCAGAGTTTGTAAGGTTAATAAAAATAATTGATTACACATTGGTGAATATGGAGTTTACGGTTATGTGTGATTATAAAGAAGGACGCTAGATACAGGTATTTTACAACATAAATGTATGTTAGAGAAAATGGAGAAGGAATTGACGGAAATATGGAGTATAAATGGCAAAGGAACTAGTTTGGGATAAGCCTGATTTGGGATATTATGAAGTGTGTGAGTATTAAAGCATTTTGTAATTTCAAAAAGCAAACAGAAAAACAATTTGTAAAGCTGGAGGATGAAAGAAGAGGGTTGGAGTTGAATTTTATAAAAGACAGAGATATTAAAATTTTATCAAAAGTACAAGCTAAGTAAGAATACTGAAACAGAAAGGATTCAGAGAAATTTAATATATATGAACAGAGAATATTTTAAATGTGGTAATAAATATCCTAGAATGTTGGCCCAGAGCTGCAGAAACAAAAAAAGTGAAGAGTGTATTCGGAATGGTTAGAAATCAAAATAGTATAAACAGAAATTTAATGAAATAAAAATGGAAAGTATTTAATAAATTTTGATAAGTGTAATAAAATTGGTAAGCCATCAACTGAGCATATTAAAACATACATAGAAGAAAATATGAGAAATAAATTCCAATAGGGTGATAGAGATTTAATGGAACAGTTAGTGAAAGAAGAAGAAATAGACAATATTATTAATAACTTAAAGATAGGGTTATTGTCCACCAGGCATGGACAAATTGGGACTGGAATATTATTAAAAAAATTAAAAGGTGTTGATACCAAGGTTGAGATTGCAACCCTGTTTTCCCCAAAATAAGAAAGACCTAACCTGAAAATAAGCCCTAGTGTGATTTTTCAGGATGATCATAATATAAGCCCTAGCCCCGGAATAAGCCCCAGTTAAGTGAAACCCCACCCTCCACCATTGTGCAGCAACCAGAAGAAGATGACATGACTGTATTTGAATAAATGTAGATTGTTGTACATGAAAAACATAGAACATGCCCTGAAAATAAGCCCTAATGTGTTCTTTGAAGCAAAAATTAATATAAGACCCTGTCTTATTTTCAGGGAAACATGGTATTTAATAAAAATTATGGAAGGAGAATAAATTCCAGAGTCTTGGAAGCATTCATTGATTATATGAATTCCTAAATCTAATAAGGATTTGTCTGATCCAGATGTTTATAGGCCTGTTTCCTTAATAAACCAAGATGCCAAGATATTAACAGCATTACTAGCAAGGACAATTAATAATTAATAATTGGTAAATATATAAAAGAGGATCAGAGTGGTTTTATGGTAAAGAGACAAATGGCAAATTTGACTAGAAGAGTACTAAATATAATGCATATTATTTACCAACAAAAAGTAAAGGCACGAGTTATGGCATTGGATATATTCAATGTGTTGGATTGTATGGAATGGCCAGCATTAAAACTGTTGATAGATATATTAGGGTTTGGGAATTGTTTTTAAAATGTGATAAATCAACTTCATTCAGAGAATACTAGTATAGTAATAGTAAATGATAGACTAACAGACCAAATATTCCCCAATATTATATGCATTAGTTACAGAGATATTGGTGAACGTTGTTAGACAGAATAGAGCAATAGAAGGTATAGTTAGCAAAGATAAAATTAAGCTTATTTGCAAATGACACATTATTTACAAAAGAGGACCCATTGAGGGTTATGGATCAGGTTAAACTACATCTGAAAGAATTTCAGGAGGTGACAGGTCTACAGATAAATTAGCAGAAGTCAAAGGTTTAATTGTTTAATTACCATATTTTTACACCATAAGACACACTTTTTCTCCAAAAAAACCGAGGGGGAAAAAGTGTGTGCGTCTTATGGAGCGAATACTGTTGCCCCCCCCCACGCCACCATCGCTGGCTTCTGAGGCCTCCGGAGGCCTCAGAAGGCCCCGCGGGGGCCCCACCCAGGCTACCATCGCTGGCTTCTGAGGCCTGTTCTGGGTGGGTTTTGGAGGGTAGATTTGGGCTGGGGGTATGTTTCTATGTTGCTTTGGGTTTTTTTGGTGACTTTTTTTGCAGTCCCAGAGTGGGACTTGCTCTATTTATTTTTACTTTATTTTTTGGTATTTAAAAATTTGGTGCTGCTTTTTACTTTTTAAAAAATGTTCTGGGTGGGTTTTGGAGGGTAGGTTTGGGCTTGGGGGTATGTTTCTATGTTGCTTTGTTTTTTGGTGATTTTTTTTTTTTTGCAGTCCCAGCATGGGACTTGCTTTGTTTATTTATTTTTATTTTATTTTAATTTTTGGTATTTAAAAATTAGGTGCGTCTTATGGCCAGGTGAGTCTTATGGAGCAAAAAAATACGGTATGTTAAAGTTGAAGAAAAAAGAATTAGAAGGAAATTTGAGATAAAAAGATATAAGAGTATAAAGTGCTTAGGTATAAATATTGTGAAAATTTATTATATTGAAAATATAAATTTATAAATATAAATATTTTAAAAAAGAATATTTTGATAAATTAAAGCCAGAACTTAAAATAAATTAAAGGAGTTAAGAAGAACAGAATTATCATGGTTCAGAAGGATATCAGTATACAAAATGAAAATATTGCCTAAAATTAATTTTTTATTGAGATGATACCAATAAAGCTGTTAGAGGAAGATGTGAAAAATTGGCAAAACATAATTAACAAATTTTATAATGATGATAAAAAAGCAAGGATTCATAAAAAGTACTGGTATAAACATCAAAAACAAGGAGGATTCCGTTTATCTAGTATAAAATTACTGCATATTATATAGCTAATCAAATGAGATTAATATGGTCAAGGCTGGAATTTCACTAGGTTGGTTATGACCCAGATTTTTTTTCTTAAACCACAATATAAACATAAAATACATAAACCAAAATACAAATCGACTGTGTTTCCCACCACCATAGTTGGGACCTCTTGCAGTAATCCTATTCTTCTTCCTTTATTGTTCTTCAGAAATGCATTGATTCTTGATTTATAGCTTTCCCTTTTCCTCTTGTTAGCACATATTCAAGAAATCTGCCCCATATATAATAGAAATTATTCTTTTTCATTTCTCCTTTCTTAATCTTTAAGTTACAAGTTAACTTATCATTTATAGCAATGTTCCATATTTCATTATACCATTCTTCCTTTTGAAATCCAGACTTTATTTCCAATTCCTAGCTATTATTAATCTAGCTGCTGTTAATAAATTGGTAATCAATTCTCTAGTCATCTTATCATATTCCACATTCTCAAATATTGATAACAGAGCTATCGCAGGATTAAATTCTGTATCTTTTTCACATATGTCATTTAGTTCTTTAAAGATTAGTTTCCAAAATCTTTGTACTTTTTCGCATTCCCACCGCATATGAAAGTATTCACCAATTTCCTTCCCACATTTCCAACAGACATTCAGATAGCTAGCGTTAATTTTATTCAATTTTGTCGGTGTCAAATACCATCTTAAACCCAATTTGAAAAAAATGTTCTCTTATTCTCACCGACATGAATCATAAAACCCTCATTTTCCACATCTTCCTCCATTCTTCATCATTTATTCTTTTTTCTAAGTCTTGTTCCCACACTAACTTCAATCCTTCTTTCTCATTCTCTTCTTCTAGCTCAAGCAGAAATCTATAAGTTTTACTCACTGCACCCTTTACTGAATTGGTCATCTGAATATCTTCATATGATAATAGAAATTATTCATACTTCGTATATTCTCTACCTTTATTATACTTCTTTACCCATTCATCAGTCCATCTTTCTAATTGCATATAATTCAACCATGATATATTCTTATTTTGAAGGATTTGTTTCATTTGATCTTTTGATCTCATTTTATACGAGTCTTTTAATGTAATCACTTTTTTTTCTTTAAACAATTCTGCATAAACTTTCATATTGGCAGGAAAATTCTCTGTTTCAGTCACTAATCCTAATGGAGAGTTAAACGGACATAAATTCTTTCTATACTTGTACCAGATGTTTAACATAAAAACGGGTTATTAATTTTGCTTATTTTATATTTCTTAATCATACCAAATAGTTGTTTTTCATTATCCACCTGTAATTCTGATGATTCCATTTTCCATCAAATTAACCTTTCTGAGTTATATATAATATCCCCAATGAGCCTCAACTGATTAGCCAGATTTTTTTTTATATTTAGTATGCCTATACCTCCTTTTTTTTGTTTTATATACCAATACTTTTTATTTATTCTGGCTCTCTTCCCTTCATTACAGTATTTATTAATCATTCCTTGCCAAAATTTAAAATAATCTTCTGTTGACTGTATTAGTAACATTCTAAATAAAAAATTAATTTTTGGTAGAATCTTCATTTTTATCAGTGCAATCCTTCCAAACCAAGAAAGTTTTAAATTAGTATACGGTGGTGCCTAACTTAATGGGCGCCCCGTTTAAAGATGAATCCGCATAGCGAAGAAGATTTCGCGATTGCTTTCGCGATTGCATTGCGATGTTCCCTATGGGAACATCGCAATGGGCCCTATTTTCCCCCAGCTGAATGGCCACCACAACCATTTTCGCGCGATTTCCTTGCTTACCGAGGGCGTGAAAATGGCAGCGCTATGGAGGATCTTCGCATAATGGTGAGTTTTCGCTCCATAGGAACACATTAAATGAAGTTTAATGCGTTTCTATGGGGTTTCCCCACTCGCATTGCGATGTTTCCGGATAGCGATGATTAATCTGGAGCAGATTAACGTCGCTATGTGGGGCACCACTGTATTCCTGTAGTTTCTTTTTTATATCTCCTTTAAATTTATTATAATTATGTTCCTTTATTTTTGAGTATCTTTTACTAAATCTGTACCTAAATATTTAACCGATTTACATATCTTAAAATCATATTTATAAACAAAGTTTTCTTCTTCTAGTTTATTATGATTAAACAACATTATTTCCGATTTTTTGCCAATTTACACATAATCCACTTATTTTTCCAAATTTTTCTAAATGTATTTTAATTCTATCTCTACTTTCTAATGGGTTTTTCACTGTCAATAGGGAATAATCAGCAACTAAATTAATCTTTATTTTATTATTTTCACCCATAAACAAAGTTTTCTTCTTCTAGTTTATTATGATTAAACAACATTATTTCCGATTTTTTGCCAATTTACACATAATCCACTTATTTTTCCAAATTTTTCTAAATGTATTTTAATTCTATCTCTACTTTCTAATGGGTTTTTCACTGTCAATAGGGAATAATCAGCAACTAAATTAATCTTTATTTTATTATTTTCACCCATACCTTCAATTAAATCATCATTCCTTATTGCATTAGCTAACATTTCAATAATGAAACAAAACAGAAATGGCGAAAAGGGGCAACCTTGTCTGGTGCCTCAGCCTAGAGCTATCTGCTCTGTCATCCCATCATTAAGAATGAGTTTGGGGATATACGTATGGGGAGAATTTATCAATTTTATATTAACAAAGGGGAAGAGTTGTGTACCTTCACAAGACTTGATGTCTTTCTGGAAGGGGAGGAGGCCTCCATGAAAGCAAGGAATAGATTATTTCCACTGGTCCCAGTGAAGGGGAGCACAATAAGTGTATATGTACATTTTGTTCTTGTTATAGTTTTATTTTTTGTTTATTAATTTAAAAAATTTAAAGGCATATTTTTGTAGAAACTCCTTAAGAAAACTCATGCTGCATCCTTTGATGGACATTTTCCTAATTTACAAGGGCTCCTATTGCTCCCTTTTTAGATACAGATATGGTGCAGCCTGAAAACTACACCCGACCCAGAGACAATGACAGGAAGCTGGAAAATGAAACCCAGGGAAGCTGTACTGTCTCTTGTCCATACAATGTGGGGAAAAGACCTATGGCTTTAATTATTAAAGCTAGTTGTCAGTTGGAAGGAAACTACATTTCCCATCAGTTAAAGATGACGGCTTGGGATTGGAGGATGTAACACTCCAACTAATCGGTTATAAATGAAGCCATAACCCTTATTAAAGATATGAATAGTATGCATTTAATTATGAATCTCAGAAATCCCTTGAGCAGCATAATTGTCTATTTTCTTATCTTGTCAGTGAACCAACTTCTCCCATTTCTCGTTGTCAGTCTTTTCGAAGAAGATATAATGTCGTACATACCTCTTCAAGCAGCTTTTCATTCTGGCTATAGCTTTTCCCCTCGCTGTTCACCTTGTTCATCACCTCAAAATTCTCCAGGTAAAGCACCAAAACGTTTAAGATATGGCCAGATTCTTGTTTTCTGTTTAAAATGTTTCATTTGCTAGAAGTGTGAAGTAGTGGCTAATTTGTTTCTCTGAAAGAGTGTTGATAGATCTGCATCAACAGATAACAATTCAGCGTTATCAACTCACTGTTTATACATTAATGATATAAATTGCTAATTGAAAGAAGAATGAGATTTAGATTGTCAAATTGATAATTTCACAAACCACTTAGCCTTATTAAAGGGCTGTGCAAGTTAAGGGATATGAATCCTCCATCATCTTACCTTCCACCCATTGCATCAACTGAAATACTATGAAAAACATGTTTGCAGCAATGGAATGGGGACTTCCCTACTTGAGGGAAACTCAGCGCCTCCAGAATATCCCCTGTTTTGGATATAAAAATCACATACCTAACCCTGCTATTTTATAGGGCAGATACATGAGCGATAAAATGTAGCTATCCACATCACAATCTAGTCAGTCCTTATGAGTCTTATTAGAAGAAAAACTTCTTGGATCATTAAGGTTGTTGGCAGTTGTCTCTGAAATTTCCCCATAATCTTGAATACTTGTAAAAATTTAAGGTTTGTTCTAAGCTTTTTGTCCTATTGTACAAGAAACCAGAGAGCAGATGCTAGGAAGACACATTTTTATGTCCTGGCAGTATGCATTATGTTGTACAACCAAGTACAATGTTGCTATGTTTATTACCCCATCCCTAGTACTGGAAGAAAGTGGGACTTTTCTGGCTTTTGCACATCAAAATGACTAGTGTTAGTAACATGCTCTGAATAGAGATCTTGGAATAGCATCTAGTGTGGCTGAGAAGGCCAATTCGAGAGTGACAATCCCTTCCACACTGAAGACAAATTGTACAATCTGTTCCCTGTCCAGTTCTCTGATTTTGCTGGATTTGTGACTGCCTCTTTGCCTCTGCCTGCTGACCCAAGTGTCTCTTCAAAATGGGAGAGGCCATGATGCACCGCCTGCCTCCAGGCTTAACGCCCAGATGTCAAGGTTTCCCATCTGTTGAGGTCCATTCCTAAGGCCTTCAGATCCTGCTTGCAGATATCCTTGTATCGCAGTTGTGGTCTCCCTCTGGGTGATTTCCCAGGTAGTAGGCCTGTTCTGTATTGTCTGCTGAGAGAGGCTAAAACATACCGGGTTACCTGGCCTAATGCTAAAGCACTGAAAAGGTAAAAGTTAGTTGAATTATAGGTGCTGGACATGGTAGTAGGACCACAGGTTGCAATAATGGAACCCAGTGTCTTAATTAAACAAACTTGCCTTTGGAAGGATGCATTTAGACAGAAGGGAGAAAAAACCTATATTTATCCTTAATGCTTGCACATATTCACACTGCTACTGCTACTAAAACTATATTTATTCTGTTTTCTTTTATTCTGCCTGGTCAGTCAATGAGTTGTTCATTCCTTGTATATGTTTCCTGCGTAAAATTGCATTGGATCATCAAGTCCAGCCCCTGCCAAGAAGGCACAGTAGGGAATCAAACCTCCAGCCTCCATAGCCATCCAATGCCGTTAAGTTGATTCCAACTGATGGTGACTCTTTTTAAGGTTTTATAGCTAGAAGAGTACTCAGAAATGTTTTAGCATTCCCTTCTTCAGGGGATTCCCTGGGACTGTGTAGCTCCCCAAGGATATACAGGCCAGTTCTTGTCCCTGGAGGCATATGTAAATCTGACTATTGAGTGTTTTACTAGACAGCATTAGAGCCACATAAAATCCTATCAATAATATGTTATTAGTACAAAGTTGTCAAGACTGATAGGGATCAATAGTCATTTTAATTTTAATTGTTTTAAGAAACAACCTTATTCATGTTGCTAGCTGCACAAAAATGTATTTCTTACTGTGCATTTTAACTTCCTACTTCACAAAATATGTTCAGCTGCACATTAAAATAATGCTTGTCAAAAATTGATCAATGCCTTGGCACTAAGTTTTAAAATTGTATGGAAAATTGGGTCTTTTCACCCTTTTATTATGCAAAGTACTTAAAAGCAAATTATGTTCAAAATGCCTCCTTTTGTGAGGCATGGAAAAACCTGACAAAACGAAATGAACTTTGCAAGAGGTTGTATAGGGTTTAACTGTTTCTTCTTCTTTTCCAAAACAGATTATCAGCAGCTTGCTGTTCTGTATCTGGAAAAAAAACTGATACAGTACTTTGCTTTTCCACCCACTTATCAAGGAACATACAATATTTTGCCTTCCCGTGGAGAAGGCTCTGTCAAATATGACTTATTTCCATCATATCTTCAAAATGAGATGAGGAAATGAAGTTTAGTGGCTCCTTTTCTATTGTAGTATGTTTAAAACCATTCATTTGCAGGAAAGAGCAAAGTAGCTGTTTTCAGAAGACAGAAATTTAATGAGTTTTGAATGACATTGTATGGTCATTAAAAATAGCTTCGCTGGCATCGTGTTCTTCCCATTGTCTATGTAATATGCAGTATAGTAGGTATATAAAACTAGAGCTCAGTGACATCTAGGAAAGCTGAATAATGAGAGATCTGGGATGGACAAAAGAACATACTCTACACAGAGAACAGCATTTAGCAAGGCCTGGTGATAAGCCATCAAGTTAGAAAGCTTTACAAAAGAAATTCACTACATTCATGGAAGATATGACTGCAAGTGGCTATAGAGTACTGCAAAGGGCAGGGGCAGCATGACATGAGTAACAGCATTGGAGAGAGGGCTGTTCTTGTCTCACTGGTTGCCCAGTATGAGAAACCAGACCAGATCCTGGCCTGGGTAAGGCTTTCCTCAGATACATTAAGACTTTTCTTATACTCTTACTCAGAATATAATGTCACCACAAAATGTACAATGGTACCACGCTAGACGATGACCCTGCTGTATGATGAATCTGCAGGACGGTGACTTTTTTGCGATCGCTATAGCGATCGCAAAATGATATTTCCTATGGGGGATTTTCACTTGACTTTGATTAGGTCCATGCTTCGCGAACTGTTTGTTCGCAAGACAATGTTTTCAGCTCCGCAAAATGGCTGCCCTGTGTTTTCCTGACCCATGCTTCGCAGGGCAGCCATTTTAACAGCTGATCTGCACTCGTAAAATGGCTTCCCCTATGGGCGATCTTTGTTGGACGACGAGGTAATTTCCCCATTGGAACGCATTAAATGGGTTTCAGTGCATTCCAATGGGGAAACTTTTCGCTGGACAATGTTTTCGCTTAACAGCGATTTCAGGGGAACAAATTATTGTCGTGGTGCGGGGCACCACTGTATTGCTCTGTCCCACCTCATTGGCATAAATGGCAGCAATGTATCCTGATCCCAGTGCACCAGCATGGTAAACACAGGAGACCTGGAACAAATGTGGCGTGGAATGAGAGATTGTGCATGAGCTCTGTAAGAACTGTTCTATATCCTGTTCTTTGTACTGTCGTAATTCCATAAATCACAGAAGCCCCTTTTAGAACTGAAATACAGAGGTGCTAGTCACATGGTCAACTTCACATTAGTCCAGTCTGGTCACAGGCCCATCAATAGTTCCATATGCTCCCCACATGATTATGTGTTCTAAGCATTTGAATTAGGTTCCTATGTTATAGATGTTGCACTTAAACCAAAGGGCCTTCTGCATATCTGATCCAGTAACATGGACCATAAGATTTCTCAGCAAATGTTGGTTCTAATATTTGTCTGCATAAAGCAGCAAGGCCCCTCTCAATGCCATCTTCTGCTTTCCCTGATCAGGCCTGCAGCGTGCCAGTGCAAGAGCTCCCTCTCCCTATAGGAGAGATTTTGAAGCTAAGCTTCGCAATTTTTATCGAAAACTAGAAGCCAAAGGTTATGGCCAGGGTCCAGGTAAAATTAAGTGAGTATCTTTACCTGTTACTTACCATGTGTTAATTATGCCTATCTTGGAGACAAATAATTGAATTATAAATCCAACAAAAGAGAAAGGAAGCTGTGTTTGAGGAAGTCTGCGATATGAGCTGTAGAAAGAGATAGAAGCAAGGGAAATGGGAAGATGTGAATACTGACCTTTGATAATTTATGGACCAGTGCATAGAAGGCTGGTGGGGACAGGGAAGAGGGTGGTCTTTCCATGTGCTTTCCATGTGTCAACTGGGGCAGTGCTTGTGGAGCACACTCCTCCCTGGCTATACTGCCTGCAAATCTTAACCAGCAGAGCAGTTGTGCTGACATGTCCATGTTCCAGAAGGGAGAGGGTTGAGCCTGCACAGGTGTGTATCGATTTGCATTGGTACTTAGAGCCACAGTATGCATTACAGTTTTAAACACCTGGCAACTACTACAGTTTCTTCTGATTAGTTTATGCCAAAAGAACAGGGTTACTGGTAAGAAAACAACTGAAGAAACATTTCTCCCTAGATCTGGTTCTGGAGAAACCTTTGGGATTTAAAGATAACTTACACTGGCCTTTTTTTATCTCCCTGCTTCTGAGTTTAAACCTGTCCTTTTAGGCACCCAACAGTAATGAAACCCAAAGCTTCCATCAAGCTTTTTATTCCTTGATATTTCTTTCCATATTTTCTGAATATTTTGAGATCTGACCTATGTAATTTTCTGCTGCTAGATGATATGGGTCACATAATGAGTGGTTTGGCTCTCTGCACCCTTTTTCAAGAGCTAGTCAGAAATATGCATTGTGTTTAGCATATTCTTGTAAGGCTTTTTTTGTAAAAAGCAACATCTGCTTACAGTATGAAAAAAATAACAAGTGGGTTTAAATCAGTTTCCACTATTGATTCAGTTAATACAGAACCTTGTTTAGGTTGAGAGAAACATGTTATTTAGACAATGTCCCATCAGCCATATTCATCGTAGCTAGTGGTGATGGATAATAGCTATTCAATGACATGTGGAGAAACTGCATGTTCCACAATCTTGAGTTACAACTTTATTTCTGTTTGTTTTTCACATTCGGTAACCACGGTAGTCAGTGGCTATTAATTTGTTGCTGCTGCTGTTCATTTTAGTTGTCAGTTTTCATATTGAATTGTCATTTCTCTGTCTCACTGCAGGTTAATAATAAGGCGTGACCATCTGCTGGAAGGCACTTTTAATCAGGTGATGGCTTATTCACGGAAGGAGCTCCAAAGAAACAAACTGTATGTCACATTTGTTGGAGAAGAAGGGTAGGTAGCTATAATGTCCTTTGAATTTTGAACCTTTAATTTGTTAAATATCCTGGTTGAAGCTGTTATGTTGTGTAGTTAAATTTAGAATAGCCATCTGGAACACAGTTTTTGGTAGAAAAGTGGGATGTAAGTTTGATCAATCATGCAGTCAGTACATGTGGGCTGAATGTTCAAAATGGCCTCCCAATGGAAGTAATTGGAGAATTCTAAACATATTAAAGAACGCATGAACACTAGAAAAAATAACCAATTTCAAATCTTACAAATTGTGATTTACAATTTATAAAGCCGAAAATTGCCACAAATGGCAAGTTTATAAAGTAGCAATTTCAAGTTTACTAACATTTAGTAAGTTTTAGAAACAAAAATAAAAACATGGGTTTAAGCCAGAGGTTCTCTTGGAAAAAACACACCCCAATAGTGTCTATGAAGTTACATTCTGTTATTAAACATAGTAAATGTATTACTTCCTTGCATAGAGTTGTCAGGGGTAGAGGTGAGGAATGTTTGGATTTCAAGGTGTTCTTAGTCTGCAAATCCCAACAATCCTAGATAGCATGGGCAGTGATTGATGGATGAAGGCAGCTGCAGTTCAGCAATGTCAGAAGGGTCACACATTGTCTGCCATTGAGCATCTAAGGAAACCTCCATTAAGCATCTAAGGAATCCTTGGATGCAGTGCTTCTCTGAATGCTGCTTGAAAACTCGGAAGCCATACATTTATCATCTAATTCTGGAGGCAGCAGCTGCCTATGATATGAAAGCTGTATGACTAGTAAGAAACCCTCTTACTTTTCATGTGTTTTCTTTTCAGCTTGGACTACAGTGGCCCATCCAGAGAGTTCTTCTTTCTTCTGTCTCAGGAGTTGTTCAATCCATACTATGGCCTGTTTGAATATTCAGCCAATGACACTTACACTGTACAGATCAGCCCCATGTCAGCATTTGTAGAAAACCACCTGGAATGGTAGGTTTCCTGATCTGGTGCTAGGTATGATAACAATTTAAATGTTTTAAAAAATCAAAATGAATACATGTCAAGGTGCAACTTTTATCACTTGGGCCAGGAGCTTCCAAAATGTCACATGTGAAATGCATTGGTGTTCCATCTGGGAAGGTATGAGATAAAGTCACACTGTTGATCTTGGAACAAGGGCAGCCAAGGAGTGCAGGTTGGATACAAGTATGAGTCCAAGCAAAACAGGACAAAGATTGGGGAAAGATATATGATAAGTCTAGCTACAGGCTCAGACTTAAATAGGATTCAAAGCAGGCAAACTGAGAGATTGGGCATTATGGTGAAAATGGAAGACTCTTAGAAAAGATTTCAACAAGCTTTACAGATGTGGTGTTTGCCCCTAGTTACCCTTGGTTATCTTCCTACCACAGAGCACTTGAAGGCAAGCCAAACTCCTCTTCACACACTGCCATCAGTTGCTCACTAAATCAACATACTTTTCTAAAGAAAGATGAAGGTCCATTCGTCACTGTCTTTTAAATAAAACAGGTTTATTGATTACAGATGTTTTGATAATAATTCATACGTATCTTCTTCAGGTTTCTAAATCAGCAATAACAATCTTCTATTTGATCTTACAGTTACTATACACTCTTCTGACTAATCACACCCCAATGCTCCCAAATATCATTCTATCTCTCACTCCACTCTGATCTCTCTCTCTCTGACTCTGACTGACTGTTCTCTCTCAGGCTCCACCTATTTTACTGTACTTCTCTCTCGGCGCCGCCTCTCAACAACATTAGCCTACAACAAGATAATGCATGACTATTTAACATAATAAGGGTGATCTCCACAACAGATAACATCAAAATCCAACTATTGCTTAGGTGAAAGAAACAGGACAAAATGATAAACATTAATAGCAAGGCCAGTATAGTCAGCATAATCTGTAGCCACAGAATGCTGGCTGTTGGAGAACAGGAAAGTTGGAGAGAGGGGAAAGAACGGCATTTTGTGGAGGACAACATGGCTAGCCGGTTGGCTGAAATTGTGAGCAGAAGTGCTCCACAATTCTGCTACCAGCCACGGGAAGACATATTCTCCAGAAGTTTATTTAATCCTCTTTAAAGCTACCTGAGTGGTTATCACCACATTTTGTGGTAATGGACTGTCACAATAGGCAGCAGAACACAGTTCTGGATACACCACAGTGAGAATGCCAGAAATATAAGACAGGGAAACAGATAATATGTAGAGCTTTAAAGATTCATAGTTAAAAGACCATTTCATAAGGTAACATAGCTCACCTATGAGAATGAACTCTAGAAAATGTGATTCTTGGTGAAATCGTTACAACATTAAATTAAACAGAAGAGTGAAGCAAATCGAAGTCAGGAAATCTGCTTTATCATTTTTTCTTTCATAGATCATATTTCAGTAGCATATGTGCTCTTCCTGCTCCTAGTAGGAAAAGGGCTCAAGAGGAAAAGGATCACAATAGAAAAGACCCTGATTCTCATATATACCAGATAGCTTCGCATTGGGGAAACAGAGAAAGCACTCCTGTACTGATAAGGGTGAGATGAAGGATCCTGAGTAAACATTAATTTTGGATTCCTCCCCCTTCATTTTTTAAATATAGCACACTTCAATTCTACAATCAACAGATCAAAGCACTGAAAAGTCTGTGCAATGAAAACAGAGACATAATGACTGGAAAATATTTTGCTTTCGCAGAGAGGCTGAGATTTAACACCTTTCCTGAAAGATTCTAGTGGAGGAATAACAGATCTTTCAGTTCTTACATTATTGTGTTTAGTATTAATTATGAAATATACATAACATTTCTGCTTATTAAAAAAAAGACCTACAGGGGAAATGTTTCAAATTAACCTAATAACACCTTTCTTGCATAGGTGTCGTGAAGCATATTCTTTTTTGTTCTTTTTTGTTAAAGAAGGAAATTATGTCTAAATCCAGAGAATCCTGTCCTAAATCATCTGATTATTAGTGTGAACTGGATGAATTAGAAGATGAGTTCTTACTTAGCTTCTAAAACAATTTAGAATTGTTTGAAATCGATTAGCAAACATTAGCCATCAAAAGTAATTGCCTATGAACATGTATGTTTCAAATGAAATGAACTATGTTCTTGCTAGACCTAGAGTTGTCATAATAATTAACAATTTTTGTGTTCAAGTTGATTCCAACTTATAGCAATCCTCACAGGTTTTCTAAGTATGAGGTTACATGCCCAGAAAGCTTGTTTTACTAGATACACAGGAGAAGTTAGTGGTGGTGATCGTTGACTATATGTTTCCATTTGCCCAGAAACAGACAACAAGGGCAAAAACAAATGTGACAGTGGAGGGGTCATGATTGGCAAGATCTGACTTAGCAAGATAAACATTTGCTTGGGATCTGTGTGACATTGGCAAGATGAAGATCTGGCAAACTCCATTTTGAGGATCAAACATATTTAACACAGCTGAGGATCTCCTGGTTGCCATAAGATGTACAGCAGTATACAAAGACACCTTTTCTTTTTTTTTATTTAAGCAATTTTATCCTATATTATCCTACATAATGGCCTGGCGTGCTCTGGTCCATGGGATCATGAAGAGTCGGACATGACTAAACGACTAAAAAAAATCCTACATAATTATTTGATAACTATTATATAATTATATTCTGTCTTGTATCTAAAGATATCTAGGTGATATAAAATCAATAAAACAATATTTAAAACCATTTTTAAAAATATATCAAACAATTTAGTTATATCAGAATAGATCACCAATCAAATATACAAAAAACTAAGTCATATTCATTAAGACTCAAATACTTGGGTCAACTGACAGATCTTAATTTGCCACTGAAAGGAATGCTAGAATTGATGGCAGCTGAGCTTCCAAGCTTCCATTCTGGAGCAGCATAGCAAAGAAGGCCTTCTCCCACATTGCTGTATGATAGCCTGTTCTCAGCACTGGGACACCAGGGAGTAACTAGCATTTCTTAATGCCTGGGAATGTTTACATACAGTATATCACAGAAGTGAATACACCCCCTCACATTTCATAAATATTTTAGTATATCTTTTCATGTGACAACACTGAAGAAATGACACTTGGCTACAATGTAAAGCAGTGAGTCCTCTCAAAATAATGCAACACACAGCTATTAATGTCTAAACCGCTGGCAACAAAAGTGAGTACACCCCTAAGTGACAATGTCCAAATTGGGCCCAAGTAGCCATTTTCCCTTCCTAGTGTCATGACCATGGTCAACCAAAGAAGTTGAGTGCCCATGCTCAGCATCATATCCAGAGGTTGGCTTTGGGAAATAGATGTGTAAGTGCTTCCAGCATTGCTGTAGAGGTTGAAGGGGTGAGGAGTCAGCCTGTCAGTGCTCAGACCATATGCCTCACACTTCATCAAATTGGTCTCCAGGGCTGTCGTCCAAGAAGGACACCTCTTCTAAAGATGAGGCACAAGAAAGGCTGCATGCAGTTTGCTGCAGACAAGCAGACTAAGGACATGGATTTCTGGTACCATGTCCTGTGGTCCGGTGAGACCAAGATAGACCTATTTGGTTCAGATTGTGTCAAGTATGTGTGGTGGCAACCAGGTGAGGAGCACAAAGACAAGTGTGTTGTGCCTGTAGTCAAGCAGGGTGGTGGGAGCGTCATGGTCTGGGGCTGCATGAGTGTTGCCGGCACTGGGGAGCTACAGTTAATTGATGGAACCATGAATGCCAACATTGTAAGCTGCCCAGAGACCTTTGGGTAGTGTGGGCGGCATATAAGTTAAATAGTTAGTTAGTTAGTTAGTTAGTTAGTTAGTTAGTTAGTTAGTTAGTTAGTTAGTTAGAATAAATGTGACATACTGAAGCAGAGCATGATCCCCTCCCTTCTGAGACTGGGCCGCAGGGTAATATTCCAACATGATAACGACCCCAACCACACCTCCAAAACAACCGCTGCCTTGCTAAAGAAGCTGAGGGTAAAGGTGAGGGACTGGCCAAGCATGTCTCCAGACCTAAACCCTATTGAGCATCTGTGGGGCATCCTGAAATAGAAGGTGGAGGTGTGCAAGGTCTCTAACATCCACCAGCTCTGTGATATCATCATGGAGGAGTGGAAGAGGACTCCAGTGGCAACCTGTGAAGCTCTGGTGAACACTATGCCGAAGAGGGTTAAGGCAGTGCTGGAAAATAATGGTGGCCACACAAAATATTCACACTTTGTGCCCAGTTTGGACATTGTCACGTAGGGGTGTACTCACTTTTGTTGCCTGTGGTTTAGACATTAATGGCTGTGTGTTGCATTATTTTGAGGTAATAGTACATTTACACTGTTATGCAAGCTGTACACGCACTGCTTTACATTGTAGCCAAGTGTCATTTCTTCAGTGTTATCACATGAAAAGATATACTAAAATATTTATGAAATGTGAGGGGGTGTACTCACTTCTGTGATATACTGTATGGAGAGGCACTACTGATATCTAGGCCCTAAGCCATTTGGAAGATATTATCAACATCTTGAATCTGGATTGGAAGCACATTGGCACCTTTAAAAACAAGTGCAAGGTGATAGTGTTCCTGAAAGCAATCTAGTTGTCTCACCTTCCAGTAGCACCCAAGTCAGGAAGCCAGGTTTGGAATGAGACAGGTGGGCCATTCAATAGCCAAGTCCCATGCCATTTTGGGTAGAGACCTGATGTAATTTATGCATGGATAACTGTTGCCTACTGTGGTTGATTCAGGAAATATTATAACTGATGGACTAAGTGGAGTTACATAAAAGTACTTTTTGCCGCAACTGTCACCTGGGAGGCCAAGGATGGGGAGAATCAAGATATGCTTTTGTATATAAACTCTGTGTAATTAATGACCAGAATCCTGTTGGATTTCTGCAGTGCATAATTGCTTCCACAGGCTGTTGTGTGCTAAGACATACCTAGGTCACCACTTTATTTATTTATTTATTTATTTATTTATTTATT